CAGATGACCTCTACTCAGGCTCCTGCAGGAGGCTGCAGATCAGAGCATCAGAGTATCATGTGGGGAGACGCAGCAGACACTGAGGAATGGGGTGTCTTCTGTATTGTCAGCAGGCGTGTTCTAGAACATGCATATCTAGCTGTTACAGGTACAGAAAAAGGTAAGTGACGAGGCTTTGCTTCTGCATTACAGATCTCCTCAGCCTGATTCTCCCTTCTAGGGCAGCCCATCCTGCTACTCAACTCTCGAGCCCTGCTCCCCAGGCCCTAGATCCCTGTTCCCCAGACAGGGTGCCAGCCCAGCTCTGCTCGGTGGTGGCCTTGAACACTGATCCTCCTGGATTTTCTCACAATGCTTGTGGTGCAAGGGTGGGAATTCCTTATCTGGCATCTTGCTGGCTTTCTCTTTAGGTAGCTGTGTCCCTAGAGGCCACTTCCTGAGTGACAACACACCACTGTCACTAGACATCTGCCAGCATCCAGGGGAACAGATCATGGGGCAATGGGCACTTTCTTCCTGGTAAGAACACATTCAGTGCCCTGGCCTCATGCACTGGCCTTTGAGGCTGAGGCCTATCCTCGCCCCTGAGCTGGGCGCAGGGAGGACTTGTCCGGCTGTTTCCAGCAGGCAGTGTTTACCACGCTGAATGCCAGGCATGGGCAGCTCTGTGTGATGTCACCTGATATGAGCCATGGAGAAGAAAGTACCAGACACAGGCTCTTTCTTTTTCCTGAATAAGGACGAGTTGTTTATGAACAATCCACGTTTTCTCCCTCAGTGAGCCACAGCTTGGTGACAGCTATGGAAAATAGACTCGCTCACAGACCTCCAAGGTTGCAGGGCTGTAAAGTGTCTGACTCACGGCTTCACGGCAGCAATGCTTAGCTAAGAATGTAGCTGCTGGAAATGTCCCCAGCTGAGCCCGCGTGTGGCCTTCCGGCATCACTTGCTGGTCTGGTGGCCCATGGGATGGAGGGGGGGGGAGGGATGGCTGGCTCACAGGAATGGACAGGGAGACAGGGCTCTGGTGGCTCAGGCAGGGTCAGTCGCTAGCTCAGAGCATATTCCAGAAGAGGGTTCTTTCTGTGAATGGTCATGTGTCCTGGGGTGTGAGTCAGATGTAGGCAAATAGAGACACAGACAGAGAGACAGACAGACACATACGCACACACACACACACACACACACACATACACACACACACATGCACGCACACACGCACACACACACATGTGGAGAATGTATGTTGCATACCACAGCTGGGATCTTAAAGGCCTCTCAAAAGACCATGTACTAAGGCTTGATCTTCATCGGTACACATATACATCATACAGAGGAATTATATACATGCATGCATATAAACGTGTGCCCACATACATGAATATAATGTCTGCTTATGCACATATTCACAGGTGTGCAGCATAGCTTTGTCTATGGAAGCAAGTGTGACTTCATCTGTGAATGCATATGTGCGTGCGTGTGAGTGTGTGTGTGTGTGTATCTACAATCTTTTTTATTTTGGTTGGTAATGGGGCTTGACCTCCGGGACAGAGTGCTGTCCCTAACATTTTCTGCTCAAGGCTATTGCTCTACCACTTTGAGCCATAGCTCCACTTCCAACTTTTTTGGTGATCAATTGGAGATAATTCTTATATAAACTTTCCTGCCCGGGCTAGCTTCCAACCATGATCCTCAGAGCTCAGCCTCCTGAGTAGCTAGGACTACAGGGTAAGCCAGCAGCACCTGGCTGCTGTAGTCTTTGAGCAGGAGGGGGGCCAGGCTTGGGAGTTGTTTCCTGTTCTGTCCCAGTGCTCTCAGGCTGGGTTCACAGAGGAAGGCAGAGCTCATACCCCATGCCCTGCTTTGGCCTTAGGGGGTGGGGGTCTCCATGGTCCACCGCTCACTAGCGTACGGATGGGCTATGAGACCCTCACGGGAGATCAATGAAATGGAGCCCACACATACCCACAGGACAGGCCTCCTCCGGTGTGGCAGATGTAAATCCGTGTTTTACAATGGGGCAGGGCCTCAACTTTCTGCCATGCAGCTTGCATAGCTGACAATGCCGTCAAACACTAGCTGGCAGTGAGCCTGTCCTGTCCCAATGACTCATGTGGACATCACGACCAAGCTAGTCTTACGTTTTTATTCATGCAGTTTCAAACAACGGCAAGTGACACAACATAGCTCTTCTGGAATACGTGGGAAGCATGCTGTTTGCCGCAGGGTTGGCTGGGGAAGACTGACCATCGAGCGGCCACCTCTGCTGATGGAGGTGATCATCAGGCTCATGTCCACCTGAAGTTACCGTCCAGCAACAAAGTGGGTTAAGATGAAGGGCGAACAGCATGCTCACCAGAAAACATGTGCCATGATTTTGCTTGTATGAGACATTTGCTCTGGCAGGGAGCAAGGTATCTTTGGCATCTGTAGTTAGTAGACTGTAGCCAGTGCAGCCCAGGGTGCTCGTTTGTGCCCTTGTGAAAAAGGCCAGCAGGTAAAAGGCATATAGAGAGAGAGCACAGCCCCCAGGAAAGAGATTGGAAGGACCTTCAGGACAGCCTGTGAGCAGAACTCTAGCCCAGCACTGTGGCTGAAAGGTCCCTGGGAGTTGCTTGGAGAAAGGTCTCTCTCCAAATTTGCCCTTTTCTCAGCCTTGGTCCTCCTTTAGTAAGCTGCCATCACCCCAGGGGAAAAAGAATTAAGCTGGGAACTGGTGGCTCACACACTTGTAATCCTAGCTACTCAGGAGGCTGAGCTCTGAGGATCATGGTTGGAAGCTGGCCCAGGCTGGAAAGTTTGTGAGACTATTATTTCCATTTAATCACCGAAAAGTTGGAAAGTGGACCTGTGGCTCAACTGGTAGAACAACAGCCTTGAATCCTTGAATTAAAAAACTAAGGGATAGTGCACAGGCCCTGAGTTCAAGCCCTAGTACTGGCACACACACACACACAATTATTCTTTATGGAAGATCATGATTTCTACCAGATAAGACAGCCTCACACTGGCCCATGGGGTTCTATACAACACAGGAACCTGCTGTCTACAGTAAGAGGCCCTGGACATTGTCTCCAGGACAGAGGGACCTGTGTCCATGGCCAGGCTGGCCAGCCTTCTGTCAGCCTTATGTTGGTCAGGCTCAGACTCCTAGAAAGGAGGGATGCTACTAGAGAGGCCAAAAATATCCAAGAAGTTATTACACACATAGACTACTCTTTGAGCAGATAATCTTATTAAAGATCCATCCTATGTCACTGGCTTGTGCCTGTAATCCTAGCTAATTGGAAAGCTGAAATCTGAGGATCCCTGTTCAAAGCTAGCCCAGACAGACAAAATTGTGAGACTCATCTCTACTTAACCAGCAAAATGCCAGAAGTGGAGGTATGACTCAAACGGTAAAGTGCCAGCCTTGAGCAGAAAAGCCAAGCATGAATGTGAGGCTCTGAGTTCAAATTCCAGCATGCGCACGTGTGTGCACACACACACAGGCACACACATACTTACAGTGAGAGTTGAGGCAGGTAGACTCAGAGCCCAGAATCAGAGCCTCTGATGCAGCCTCTTTACCAAACCCAGCATGCTCAACCCTTGTCCTCATGACTCTACATCTCTCATGGTCTGACCAATGGAGATTTTGTCACTGATCTTCACAACTGCAGGGACTTGACTATGTTTTGGGAACTGGCTCAGTTTAGCACACATCTATCCTATCAGGAACTACAATTCCAAAGGGTGTGGGTGGCTTCTAAGGCAACTTAACACAAACTCAACAAGTGAGCTTGTCTTCCTTCAGCAAAGGAAAGGTAAGATGGCCTCCTTTCTCTGTGTGTTGTTGCCCTTTGTGAGTAGATCCTGTTCTGTCATCCAGGGCTGTGTATGTTTTACATGTCCTAAGTGGACAGTAAGGTGGGTACAACTTTGTGTGTCTACTGACATATGGCTGCATTGCTTTTAACTTTTGTTCTTTTTGGTGGGATTTAAATCCATGACCTTGTACACAGACGACTTGCTTGGCTGGTTGGTGCTCTACTGCTTGAGCAATGCCTCCAGCCTTGCTTTTTGCTGGTTATTTTGGAGACAGAGTTTCATAGACTTTTCTGCTTGGGCTAACCTTGAACCACAGTCCTCTAGATCTCAGCCTGTTGAGAGGCTAGGATCACAGGCATTAACTTGCTGGTGCTCAGCAGCTTTTGAGTTTTCCAGAGACTCAAGCAAAACACACAAAAGGGTTGATGATTTGCATGAGGGAGAACCTTAGGTGGGGAGTCGTTAAGTCTAGGGCCTGGAAGAGAATTCTCAGGCCAAACATGTTCAGCCCAAGGCCACTCTCAATAAGGCCCATTTGGGGATGAGGATTAGAGTCTTAATTTTACTGTAAATTGATTCTCTCTTCAGAAACTCCTCTTCAGATGACTTTGATACTCATGTTGTCCTCTTCTCTGGTGCAGTTGAGCCCCACCCCCCCAAATTCTTGTGATGAAGACAAAATTATATGACATAGTATAAATCCAAATGTCTAGGATAGGGTCTTTGTAGGTGGGGCTTTAGGATGTGATTGCATGTAGAGGAGGTCTTAAGAGTGGGGCCCTCTCTCTGTCTGAGTAATGCCCTCCCAGACTTCGACTCATCAGATGCCTGCACCTTGACAATGAACTTCCCAGAACTGTGAATGACAAATGTCTTCATAAATTGCCCAGTCTAGATGATCCATGATAGCAACTAAAGGGGACCAGCATGGCCTTCCTTACAGATGCATGCATTCATTCATGGTAGCATGCTCTCTGCTGTGCTCCAGACATAGCAGTCTGAAGTATTCTATGTCATACAAGGTGAACAGGAGCCTGCCACTCCCACACAAGGGGAGCTTTATTCACTTGTCCCTATCAGGCACAGATGGCCAGGCCTCGACATAGTCTGCAAGGGGCACACAGGCCAAACCAGGGGTTTCCTAGGGGCTTTGTTCCTCTTCCAGATGTTTCTTATGTTCCAAACACAGAGCAAAAGCAACATCCAGGTTTATTATTAATTATGACTATTCATATTATTATTAGTTCACTAACTGGCTAGATGGTTAGAACTCATACTGGTAGAGCTTATTCCGCCTCCTCTTCATTCTCTTCCTTTTCTCCTTCCTTCTACTCTTCTTCCTCCTCCTCCTCTTTCTTTGAAAGCTCCCATAGCATTTATCCATTCAGACAGCATTTCTGTGACCAGGGATCAGTCTCACAGCTGCCAAAGTCTGTTCAAGATGCAGTTGTCCTTTTTTTTTTACCCTGGCTGTTTCTCCATCTCAGGAATCACCTGCGAAATGCTAGCTGAAAGATCTGCAGAGGCTAAGTGGATGAGAATGCCCTACACCCCCCAGCCCTGCCTCTAGTTCAAGTTTTCCAGGATTCCTGCAGTCCAGGCCCCAGTGAAAATAAAAGGAATTCGGAATCAGATCTTAGAAGTGATCTGTCATGAAAACCACACAGATGAATTCAGGGGCCCCTTTGTCCAGCCTCCTTCTGGGGATGAGCTTGTTCTGGGGAGGGAGAGTCTAAGGACATGCCGTGTTCCACATGAAGCTGGCTCTCTCCACCGGCAGAGGGTGTTGCAGACACTGAAAACCAGTCCATCAGAATACATTTGCCCAGGAGGGGACCGACACCAGAGGGAGCTGGCTAGTTAACCACATCGTAGTAATAATTGCGCAGCCGCAGTTCCACTGCTACAAATCCAGGCCTCTTCTCCACCCTGGGAAAGAGATGTTAGTGTGTGTCAAGACGGCTCTTGAAATAAATACTATAGATCAACCACCCCTCTACAGCATAGAGCGCAAACAGTTGCACTCCCTGGTAGCCAAAGCTTAAAAGAGGTGCTCCAGCATCTGTCTATCTGGTTGGTGTTCCAAAACAGAAATACAGCCTCATCCCACTCCAGACCTACAGAAACCCAACCCTGCATTTTCTCAAGATCTCCAAGGGAATCGTGTACTGGAAAAGTTCGGGATCCTTTACAACTCTCCCCCTGTACAGGCTTTTGCAATTCCAGCAACATGTCTAAAAACATGTTGGAGCTGGACAACATACTACAGATGTGGATCGTGTTTAACTCTCAAATGTTTGAGAGGAAAAAATATATGGGCGTAAGTATTGTTCTTCCTTCTCAGGTCACTTTCTCAATGGGGGCTGTTAATAGGAGCTCTTATTTTTTTTATTTTTTATTTTCTTTTGTCATTTGTGGGGCTTGAACTCTGGGCCTGGGTGCTGTCCTTCAGCTCCTCAGCTCACGGCGAGCGCTCTACCACTTGATTCACAGCATCATTTCATGGTTTTCTGGTGGTTTATTGGAGATAAGAGTCTCACGGACTTTTCCTGCTGGGGCTGGCTTTGAACTGTGATCCTCAGGTCTCAGCCTCCTGAGTAGCTAGGATTACTAGCATGAGCCACTGGCTCACGGCTAATAGGAACTCTAGAACGTAAAACAGTGATAGCCAAGATAAAGACCTAGAGGTTGTCTATTATGTCATCATCATCTTCTTCTGCACTGAAAATTGAACTCAGGACCTTGAGCCTACTAGGCAAGTGCTTACCACTTGAATTATGCTCTCCCTAGGTCCATCCTACTATATTATTTTTGTTGTTGTTATTATTATTATTATTAATTTGAGACTAGGTCATGCTAGCTTTGTCCAGGCTAGCCTCAAAGCAGGGGTCCCCTGCCTCTGCTTCCCAAGTACCTGGAATTACAGGTGTGCCCTACCACACCTATTTTCTGTTGTAAATCTTAAAACAGGAAGGCTGTACTGTTAGTAAATGATGTGCTGATATAAGTAAACTATGGGCAAGACTTTTAATAGTCCATGATCTGTAAATAAGCATGCGCATGCTCTAACGGGAGCATACGGTAACAATTTAAGGATGTATAGCTGCTCTTCCACATCCACAGAGGACTAGTTTCAGAACCCCCATCAATACCAAAATCCTCAGATGTTCCCGTCTGCTCTATAAAATAATACAGTATTGCATATAACTTCAGATATCTTCCTATATATGTCAAACCACCTCTAAATTACTTATGTAATATTGGATATAAGGTAATTGTTATGGAAATAGTTGTATCATAAAAGGAATAATGACAAAATATGATGTGGCATGTTTCACTTGTTCCCCTCAGATGCAGTTAGGCATATATTTTCAATCCATTGTTTGTTGAGTCTACTAATATGGAACCTGCAAGCCCATTGTCTTCACTAAAACCTTGAGAATCCATCCTCACCTCCAAGTTATTTGTAAGCGAGTTTCATATTAGTGGCTTGCACCTCAGGTGGCTGAGATCTGAAGGTCATGATTCAAAGCCAGCCTGGGTAGGAAAGTCTGTGAGACTCTTATCTACAATGAACCACCAAATAGCTGGAAGTGGAGCGATGGCTGAAGTGATAGAGTAGTAACCTTGAGCAAAAAGGCTAAGAGATAGAACCCAGGCCCTGAATTAAAGTACTCATACTGACAAAAAGAAGTTATATTTTTTCCTATTTTGCAAAATTTGGGGCTATAATGCCAATGAATAATGTTACCAACAGTGTCAAAAAAAAAGATCCTGATATTAAGCTCATTGCTACATTCCACATCCAGCCATTCTGTCTCACAACTACCATTCCACTGATTTCAGCCGATATGTGAGAACAGACAGAACACACTGAGCACCAAGAACCACTACCATTAGCAGAGCAGAGTGTTTTCTGCACTGCCCACTTGGGTAGTCCCATCAGATGGCATTGTGGCTAATGCTTCATCTGCAGTGTTCCAACATGTAGCACTTAGCAGCACTTCCTAAGAAGCTCCATGCTCTGGAGCAGTGACTGACATCCACCTTCTGCCATACCAGAATGTGTCCAGTGCCTCAGCTGCTGTCCAAAATTTCAGAGTCCTCATAATGTACTTGTGCTCTGGAGATGTTGAGGGTGGTTTAGCAGGGAGCAAAAGAGTCCTGCATGTTATGAACTGGGAGAGACTTTGACCCTGCCACACTGGGTTGTGCGAGTGTATCACACGGTAAGCCTCTGGCATTGAACCTGTCTGTGATCTGCAGGATCTCCTAGTGGAGATTAAATGTTCTGCTACCGAATAGGGTACTAGCCATTGCCTGAGCACATCACGGGTGTATGTTCCAAACTCTGGAGAATCACTAAAGCTTCTGATAGTGATCCCATAAGATCGTGCTGCCTGGTGATTTTGTATAAGGACACTCTAAAATGTTCACACAAGGGCCAGAATGCGGACTGATGCATATCTCAGGATGCATCCCTTTTGTTAAGTGACATGACTGGATCTTGAGCAAGTCAGTCCCTGCTCCTGGCTCCCTGGTTTACTGGGAAGGCAGAACGTGATGTATGTTTCTTGAAAAGGCCATCTCCCTCCAGAGCCCTGGATACAGAGCAGAAAGTGTCTGGTACTCACTCATAGGTCCAGCACAGGTTCATTAGCTCATACATCTCTCTCGGGCACCCTGCGGGGCAGCCCATGCGCTCTCCTTTCTCCAGCATGGCGGTCACCTCGCTCCCCTTCATTCCCTGAGACAAACAAATACACATGAGCTTTGAAAATAGTGCTAGCATACAAAACAAAACAATTCTTCCCCCAAGAGGAAATGAGTATACGCACAGACGAAATGCTTTCAATGATGTAAGCTACACAGCCAGGAACACATCAAATGCATGGCTGGAGGTCAGGAGGGACTGCCCAGTGGGAGGGGAAGTTGGGACTCTGGGTTCTACTGTTTCCCCAACTGGAGGTTCATTTCACAGCAGGTATCAGCTTCATGCTGCTATATTAATGTATGTGTATGTAGGATGATATATAATATATTAAAATATTCTAACTAGTCACTAGTAACTCACACCCATAATCCCAGATCTCAGGAGGCTGTGATCTGAGAATCAAGGTTCAAAGCCAGTCAAAACAGATAAATCTGAGAGACTGTTACCTCTAATTAACTACCAAAAAGCTGTAAGTGGAGGTGTGGAGGCATGGCTCAAGTGATAGAGCACCAGCCAGCAGAGCAAGAAGACAGAGCACCAGACAGCAGAGCAAGAAGCCCTAAGTTCAAGTCTCTCTCTCTCTCTCTCTCTCTCTCTCTCTCACACACACACACACACACAAACACACACACAAATACACATCTAAAACTCGTAGCAGTGATAAATTTGATACTGTCAGTAGTCATAATTCTATTTCAACACTAAAAAGGAGGTCTGGCTATCAATTCTATGCATCTATCTATACATTTAATATGCAATGAAGAAACAACCCTGTTCAGTTAGCATCAAGTAATGTTTTTGAGCTCTTTCATCATTTTCGGGTTCCTGTGAAAATAGTCTGGTGCTCATTTGTGCTACAGCTGAGACATGAAGCAGAGAGTAAAGGCCAGCTCACGCGGTAAGGCTTCTGCCCGTAGGAAAACGCCTCCCACATCAGCACCCCGAAGCTCCAGACGTCACTCTTGCTGGAGAACTTGTAGTAGTTGATGCACTCTGGCGCATACCACTTCACCGGCCACTTCCCGTGTGTCTGTGCCTACAGACAAAGCAGAGGCCAGCATCTCATGAACAACATGCAATGCACCATGCTCAGCGCAGCTTTACTCCCCAGAACTGAGATGAACAGAAACTGTGGCCCCTATAGACCATGGCATGGGTGCTGTCCACCCGTGAAGAGGAGAGAAAAAGGCCCTAACCCAGACTGCCACAGAGAAGAAACCTATGGGATCATGGTAAGGGGAAAATGCCAGCCACCAAAGGACAAAGGCAGTATAACTGCACTTGTATGAGAGACCTAGAGTCACTAAAACTATCCATGAGACAGAGGGGAAAATGGACTGTCGGGCAGGGTGAGGAGAGAGGAGAGTATCTGATGGATGAATACAGAGTTTAACTTGCAAGTGGAAAGAATTCTGACATCAAGTTGTATTGTTATATTGTATTGTGTGTACTGAGTGCCATTAAACTGAGAACTTGAAATTAAGGTGCTAAATTTTGTTATATGCATTTTACCATAATTTACAGAAGGATAAATAAGCTTATGAGCTGCAACATGCTGTGTGTGTGTGTGTGTGTGTGTGTGTGTGTGTGTGTGTGTGTGTGTGTGTGTGCAACTTACTTTTTAATGTTCCTACCTGGAACATCATGAACCTAACTGTATATCAGCACATGAACTCTTGGAAAAGATTTGCCTTCTGTGCTGCATTGGATCCCCCAGGACTGATAGAATCAGGCTCCTACTGAAAGTCTCTTAGATGGTTTGCAGCTTTCTTCTATTACAAATCAGCTGGAACACATCACAGAGGCTTGTGTCTGCCCCAAAGGGAGCCAAGGGGTGACAGTGCTGGAGCCGAGCCGAGCTGCTGCACAGACCCTGCTTCCCTCACTGTCATTGCTCTGTGATCTGATTTAACTCTTGATTCTTTTATACTTCACCCTGCTCCATGTTCCTAAAGAAGTCCTTCCTGTCTCTACTTTTCAGGATTGCTGGACCCTTCATTGCCTCTTCTAACATGGCTTTTACTTCTGTTATGGTCCTGTCTCTCCTGGCTGATTCTCAAAGAGCTGTTGGTGCCTTCTCTGACAATAAACTGTCTAATAGCCAGGGCAGTGTCAGAAGCAGTGTTCAGGTTCTTGAATGCTTCTTTCTCAAGGGGCCCATCCGAATACAAGCAGATGAATAGATTTATGCAGAGAGCCTCTCAGATCTAAAAGGATCAAATCATAACCAATGAACAAAGCAAGACAGTGATTTATAAGAAACAGGTCATGTAGAAAAACCACATTCTTAAAGACAGGTCTTTCCTCCCTTGTCCTTTGAATCTGAGTAGTCTGTGGCAATTCTTACCAACCCATCAAGTGGAAATCACTTGACAAGAGTTTCTGAATCCAGGCCTTATCAGCTTTGTCAATGTCACAAACCTCTGTTTCCGACTCTTGAGCTGCCACGCTGTGAGAAAGCCCAAGGGCCATTAGGAGGCTCACATTATGAGTCTAATCAGTCACTAACTAATGAATGCATAGAATGGAACTGGATCCCTGGACCTCCATGGGGCAGCCTCCCAGCTACTGTGTGCAGCAAACACACCAGTCCTCACTGAGCTCTATCCACACTGTGGTGTGGACCCTGCATATACACACACACCAGCAGGGGCTGCTGGCCACCGAGCATGAGCCAACCTGTCAGACAGCAGAAGATAACAGTGACACATTGACATTTCCCCCTTCTCTGTGTCCTCTGAGAGTGCCTGCTCCACACAGGCTTCTTGGCTTCTTCACTCCAACATATGCCCAGCTTTAGAACACATTCTGTCTTCCCGAGTCCTGTGCTCTTTCTTCTAGGCTGGGCCTCTGTCTAGACCATGTTGTTCTCTCAGTACCCTCATTTCCAAGGGCACCTCTCTAGGATGGCTGTTTTGTGAGGAATGAGGTGAGTGATAGGCTGTGTGGGAGCAACATGCTGGGCAGCTGGTGGTGCCTACGATGCTCTCCCAGAGGCTTTCAGGGCCCAAGAGGGTGAAGCCAGCCTGCTCCTGGGGTTCATCCCATTAACAAGTGACACCCTCCATTTCCACGAGGAAGGACATGGTCACTGTTAGGTAAATTAAGTTGGCAGCCGACTAAAGAGAGCAGCACGTGGTATTCAGGCAAGGGAAAGGTTTATTTGCAGGCCGCCTCTGGTCAAGTTGGAAGCCCAAGCAGCAGGAATAAAAAGGATCGAATCACAGCCAGGCCAGACTTACCAAGGCCAGGGGTGGGAGAAGGTGTGGCCACCCAGGATTCAGATGTGACCTCAGGGAGGGGGGAAGGTGACTGATTTCTAGTTTGTCCGTTACCTAGGTGACACAGGTACTGGGCAGAGACTTAACCAAGAAGAGGGATGAGTCTGCTCCACCTTCCCAGGGTGGACCTTACAGTCCCTTAGGACTTCAATAACCATCTCAGGTTGTGACACTCAGGCTCAATCCCACAGTCCCCAACAGAATGGCCACACTGGTCCTTTCTTGCCACTTATGAATTGGCCCTATAAAGTTTTCCATTTATTGCTGAGACTTTTAGATATTCCTAGAGAATTGCAGAGCTACAGATTTTTCTTCAGCACATTCTTTTCCTTACCAGATGTAATCCTATTACTTGGTCATCATAAACCATAGATATGTTCATAGGGTTTATTTCCTTTCTCTTCTTTCTGTTGTTATTAGTTCATTAGAGGATTTGGAGGTGGGTAGCAGAAATAGCACCACCTCAGAAAGTAGGGTGGGTGCTTGTGAAGTTACTTAGGGAAATCTAAGTGCATGCCCAGTTTGGTTAGTACTATGCTTTACTGGGAGTTCATCCTTAGTTCAGCCTGGACAGATGAGCAGGTGTATTTCTTTTCTAGCCTCATTCATTACATTGATTTTTACTTTGTAGAAATATATTGCTTTTTTTTCTTTTGCTGATATTGTGGCTTGAACTCAGGCCTTGCACTCTGGCTCAGCTTGTTTGCTCATGGCTGGTACTCTATCATTTCAGTCATTTCTCCAATCCAGTTTTATGCTACTTAATTGGAAATAGAGTCTCATGGCTTTTTCTACCTATACTGGCTTCAAACCATGATCTCCTGTCTCAGCCTCCCGAGTAGTTAAGATTACACAAGTGAATCACTCAACGTATTATCTTTTTTAAAAAATAGCTCAATTACCCTAGGTACTAATTATGCTCATAGGACAATTTCCTCATACATAGTAGAAAGACAGGAAACCTTAATTTTTTACTTGGGTAGAGATGTCAAACTTACTTGACACTTTGCATCTGCATTTTCAAACTTTTACATATAGATCTGTGTATATGTTAAAGATTATTTTGGAAGTGATCCATACCAGGGGTGGTAAAATAGCGTCCCACAGATGTGGGAAACGTGTTCTGTGGGGAAAAGAAGTCCATGGATGAATTAGAGTTGAGATATACAACAAAGACCAACTATCCACTGGCATTCACAATACCTATTCACAGAAACAGGGCTCAGGGAAATGTTTCAGAAATCTTCCCATCCCACTTGCATTTTTCCAAAGGAATTTAGCCATGGATTTCCACACTTCTTTTTTTTGTAAAATGAGCCAGCAGTTAACATCTGATTCCCTGCTATTTCATGAAAGATAATTTGGAAGACACTAGTCTGAAAAAATCTCAATGGATGATATATTAGAGTATGTTTACTTTATTTTAACTGATAGGATCAATACTGAATAAGAGCATTTTTATCAGGAACTCTATTACACGGTTGGTGGCAATGTAAACTAGTACAACTACTATGCAAGGCACTGTAGAGATTTCTCAATGGACTAAACACAGAATTGCCCTATGATCTAGTGATACCTCTTGGACATTTCTCCAAAAGACTACAAGTCAGGATTCAGTAAAGACACCTGTGCATTCATGTTTGTTGTTGACACTGTTCACTGTAGCCAACTTAGGAAAACAGCCCAGCTGGCCTGAAATGGATAAGTGGATCAAGAAAATGTATGTATATGTGTACATATACATATATATAAGTATATATATACACGTACACACATATATGTATAAACACACACTTAGAAATTTTACTCATCCATTAGAAGGAATAATATTATATCACTCACAGGGGAATGGGAGGATCTGGAAAATTATGTTTAGTGAAGTAAGTCAGGTTCAGAGAGACAAAGAATGCATGCTTCCTCTCATATGTGTAAATTAGAGTTACATTATAAACATATAATGAACATATACAGAGTCATATGCATATGAACACAAACAAATTGACTAAAGTATGCTACATGCAGGGAAGGATTTCAAAAGCACAACTCCTTTGAACAACTAAGTTATATTTTAACAAAATGAATACCAGGAAGCTGAACCATGTTTCCTCTTGAGGTGAAGGAAGATGAACAGAGAGAGAGGAGTGGGTGAATGCAGTAATAACATGCAACCCACATGTATGAAAGTGGAATCAGGTAACTTGAGGGGATGGGTAGGGTTGGAAGAGATGGGGAAGAATGATGGAAGAGGATACACTGATCAAGATGCATTGTATTCATAGACTTGCTGAACTGAAACCTCTTTGTACGATCATTTATAGATAATAATGAAAAAGAAGGAAGAAAGGAAAGAAGGAAGGAAGGAAAGAGAAAAAGGAAAGGAAGGCAGGAAAGATGAAGGAAGGAAGGAAAGATGAAAGAAGGAAAGGAAGGAAAGATGAAAGAAAGAAAGGAAGGAAGGAAGGAAGGAAGGAAGGAAAGAAGGAAGGAAGGAAGGAAGGAAAGAAGGAAGGAAGGAAGGAAAGATGAAAGAAGGAAAGGAAGGAAAGATGAAAGAAAGAAAGAAAGGAAGGAAAGAAAAAGGAGTTTTGAGAGAAGCCAGGGCTACTTGTGGAACTGCTTCTTCAGATCCTATCACACTGAAATGAAGAGAACACACATTTCCCTCTTGATTTATTGTGACCGGTTGCCATGACTTCTAGCTGAGATTTTCCTACCTTATAGTAGCTTTCATCAGCTCCAAGTGCTTTGGAAAGACCAAAATCACTGATCTTAGCATAATGTTGAGTGACCAGCAACACGTTTCTTGCGGCCAGATCTCTATGCACAAAATTGCACTCTTCCAAATACTTCATTCCCATGGAGACCTGATGGACCAGCTCTATGATATTCTTGTCCTTGACATGCCTGAAGGTCAAAAGGGTACGATTAGGGGCAGTGAACATGGAGGCAACTATGCTTTTCAGGATCCACACAAGTAGATCCACTTACTCCCTATTCTTCTATTTTTGTGCCAGTACAGCCTGAACTCAGGGCCTAATGTTCTTGTTTAGCTTTTTTGTTGAAGGCTGGCACTCTACCACTTGTGCCACACCTTCACTTCTGGCTTTTTGGTAGTTAATTGGAGATAAGACTCTTCAATTTCTTACCTGCAAAGGACAGGTAACAATGCCTTCTGTTGATGGAAACGAAAATGACAATCTAAGTACAAGCAAAATGCAGCATATGGAGGAACGAATCTTTGGCTGGTGTTCTTCCTCTGAGTTTTTCTATCTCAATAACAGCTTTAAAAGAGTACAGCATAATTGCTCCACAGATGGATGCAACCAGTACACAGCAACCAACACCTTCAGAAGTTATCACTAAAGGGAACTTAATAGACAAGTGGCTCATTCCTGTCATCACTGGCTCCTCAGGAGCTGAGATCTAAAGATCAAGTTTCAGTCAGCCCAGACAGACAAATCCCAAGAGACTCTTACCTCCAATCAACCACTAAGAAGGTGGAAGTGAAGGAGTACCTCAAGTGGTAACGCATAAAACAAGAGTGAAAAAGCCAAGCAAGAATGTGAGGCCTTGATTTCAAGCCCCACTTCTGGCACATACATACATACATACAGACAGACAGACAGACAGACACACACACACACACACACACACACACACACACACACACACGTGCACGCACATATATAAATAAAATATAAACAAATTAATTAATAATAAAAAGAGCATGTTCTACCTAGAAAGGAGAGATTTCCTGACTAGAAATCCTGAGTCATGCTCCTGGATTGGAAAGATTAACATCGTGAAAATGGCAATACTTCCCAAGGCTATCTACAAATTCAACACAATACCTATCAAAATTCCAACCTCTCTTCAAGGAAATAGAAGAGGCAATCCAAAAATTCATATGGAACAATAAAAGACCCCGAATAGCAAAAACGCTCCTCA